CAGTTTATCAGCTAAAAAAGTTAATTTTGGGGTAAGTTACTCTTTAATTACCTCTCATTTTTCTTAATTCCAGCTCTATACATCCCTTATACATCTCTATACATATATGTGTGCACTTCTATTATTAATGTTATTTTGTTGAAACATTCAGCACTATTTGCACAGGTTCAGAGCGTTGCACAAAACCTTTCCCTGAGAGTTGRACCATTAAACTCTGCACGTCCAAGTCTAGGTTCCTCATGCTTTGGGCTGGTTGTTCACCGCCTGATTTCTGGGTTGCTAATTATGATGTGGTTTTAAGTGTATGTTTTAAGCATGGATCTGCAGGTGCTTTATAAGAAATGAACGAGTGCACATCCCGAGCAAGAAAACAAGTGCACTTTTGAAGAAAGTCACACGTGGGGTTTACGGTGAAATTCAGAAACATCTTGACATCAACAAACCGATGATAGAGACCAGACAGCAACAGAACAATACTTCATGTTTGCTCATCTGCCTGTCATTTAAACGGTGCTAGCAGACTCCTCCTCTGTCGCCGGTGTCTGCTCTGATCCTCCTTTTAGCATTAGCATGCTATGGCTAACACCCGGGCAGTCAGCGGCTGGCCGCCGTGCTGGTTTAGCTCGAACCGGTAAGAAGTTGCATGCCAAGCCAGCCTCACTAGCTTCCTTCCGCTCTGATGCCACCTCTGCCCGGAAGAACTGTTTCCAACCACCCGGCACCCTGAAGTCCTATCAGACACTTTCACGGCTCTGGCAGGGACACGCTCCTTATAGCGATCATGTCTTAATATTTGTAAAATATTTTCTTAAAGAGAGCGTTTGTGACAGGAACTGCAAGCGAGAGCAACACGTTACCCATCCAGCACTAGGACCCGGCAGGGTCTTTGTTTGGGTAACATGGTTAGTTCTGCCCTCCGTTTCCACGAAAAATAACCGCGCTGGTTTGAGTAAATAGCTTCATAACAGCTAGTATTTGTGTCAGGTAATTTCCTTACCATCCGCCGTGATCACCCCAGCCCAGTCGGCCCAGGCACTCCAGCTTTGACCCACGAAATCACCGAGGCTAGGTATCCGCCGATCCAAAGCAGCCATTACTTTAACTGCGCGTTCACGCACCGCCATCATCACTGCGCGGCAAGTCGCTTACGTCACATGTCGCGTTCCCGATAGGACAGGAACTTTCTGCGTGCGCGTTCAAAAAGTTCCCCTCCACCACCCAAATGACATTAAAAAAATCATAATTTATAGTGTTTATAGTTCGACAAATTTAGAATCTGTATTTACACCATTGTATCCCAGTTGTTATTTTATTTTCCATGTGTTTTTTACAATCTAAACCTAAGTAAAATACAATAAATTCGGTTTACAAAATAATATTGGATGGATAATGGTAATGTTTTCGAGTGATAATTCTCTTTTCTACAAAACAAAAACAAGATTTGTAATTGTTTTACATGCTTTCCCCCATACCTCAACACAATAGACCAAGTGTAGAACAGTTAATGTGTTAAATAACATATACAAAGCTTCATCATTAAACAAGTCCCCTACTTTGTAAAACAATGCAAAAGATTTAGCTATTTTATTCTTAAATAATTTAAATGAGGTTTCCATGTCAGTTTCTCATCAATAACACCCAAAAACTTTAACTCACTGACTCGACCAATCTCCACACCATCAACTCTAAATGAAATGTTAACAGTTCTTTCTCTTTTTGTAAATATCAATTTAGTTTGATCCAAATTTAATAATTTGTTCATTTCAAACAAATTTTGTATTTTCACAAATTCCATTTGCATCAGCTCTAACATCCGTTCTGTCTTTACCCAAACAAACAAACAAACAAAAAAAGTAGTATTACCTGCAAATAGTACACATTTAAAAAGCCCTGACACATTTACCAAGTCATTCACATGGTCCAAGTACAGAACCCTGAGGAACTCCACATGTAATTTTACAGATAGATAGATAGATAGATAGATAGATAGATAGATAGATAGATAGATAGATAGATAGATAGATAGATAGATAGATAGATAGATAGATAGATNAGATAGATAGATAGATAGATAGATAGATAGATAGATAGATAGATAGATAGATAGATAGATAGATAGATAGATAGATAGATAGATAGATGGATAAACTTTATTAGAGACTTAAGGTCCAATTAGCAGAAAAAGAAGATAAAAACACATAATAAAATAATAAAAAAGTACAAAAAGGTTCCTAACCCCACGCGACCCTGAAAAGGAAGAAGCGTGTACAGAAAATGGATGGATGGATGGATGGGTTCCTAACCATTCAAGAGGTAGTCATACCCATGCTTCCAAAGCACAGATGAGTATTTTATTGCACTACATGTAACATTAGTCAAGTGTAAAATAATTCTATTATTAGACATATTTAAACGACAAATAAATTTGTACATAAGCTTTCTTAAAACAGCCATAAATGAGCTGACATGAGCAGATACAAACAGTTCACTGGCATTGGACCATCTGGGTTTTTTTAAACAAAAGTCTAAGTGCATCATTATAAGTCACATTCAATCTATGAAGACTGGCTTTTTAAAATTGCACCACAAGTGTGCTGTATACAGAGAAGTACAATATGATCTGAACAAGTTCGGTTTCACTTCATCAGAACAGAATCCAAACTTACGGACAAGGATATTTGCCTGAGCATATATCATACGAACTTGACAGTAAATGTCCTCATCATCAGACAGACGGTCTGTCAACACATGACCAAGATATTTCACTTCATTACAGACATTCAGAAAAGTCCCAGATAGATTAAATATTGGAAATACACTATTTTTGTCCTCTTTAGTGCGACAGATCAGAATGTTACTTTTTGATGGATTGAATTTGACATCACATAGCTCACCATAAGCTGAACAGACATTAAGCAGCTTCTGAAGACCAGCTGAACTAGGACTAAAAACAACTAGGTCGTCAGCATACATGAGATGATTTATAAAAGTATCTCCAACCATACAGCCAGTTACAGAGTTCAGACCTTACACAATGTACTTGTATGAACTGTTTCCTATTTTCCAAATACTGTACATCCACTGCAGTGCCCCGAAGTGGTGGAGCCAGACATTTTTCTCAGGGGTGGCCAGACTGGGACCACTACTCACACAGGGGTGGCCAGACTGGGACTACTACTCACACAGGGGTGGCCAGACTGGGACCACTACTCACACAGGGGTGGCCAGGGAAAATTACAACATTTTTTACTTGAATGTTTGTACCGATCTTTGTGTTTCGGTCATTTCCTTATGTCCTTATTCGGGCAGTGACTACTTTATAAACATGAGCATCAGAATGATTTTAAAAGTGGGGGGACACACTGTTGGGAGGTCTGGGGGTCCTCCCCCAGAAAACTTTGAACAAAATAGATGCCCTTTCCAACATTTTGGTGTATTTTACCAGGTTTTTTAACATACTTTTACCTACATAAATAAACACTTGATTTAATTATTTCAGAGACAGATAATTCATTAAACTAGTTCTTTCATCCTGTTTTAAACTCACTGCTATATCTGAGATAAGCTTAATTAATCAATTTATCATATCCAATGACTTTGGGGGTGCTTTTTACTTTTATATTGTTTATTATTTATTTATTTTTAACTTTAACACGTCATTGTGACAAATAAAGATGACCCTCAACTGCACGTTTAAAACTAATATTAATAATATTACCCAATGAACAGGTGCAATATTAATAACCACCAACAGTGAATTTAGAGGGGTGTTTCACTTTTTATGATTTAGTGATAGCCCTACTCATAACTAAAAGGAACAGCATCATGCAGCCTTCAGAACATAAAATGACACTGTGTTATTGTGACAAAAAATACATTTGTCACCATAAGTCCATATATTGACTCCATAAGTCAGATTACATAGGCATATGTTCTGGACATGAAGAAAACCATCACTTAATTATCATTGCTCTTCTTCAGTGAGAGCTTGGTGATGTTTCAAACTGTTAAACACTGCCACCAACTGTTCAGGAAGATCATTACACCCTTAAAGGTTGTTTCACTGTGGAAGGGGGTGCAGGGCTGGACTGGTGGTCATGGCGGCCCTCCGTCATTATTTATGATATACAAATGGACACAACATACCAGAGGATGTGTTGCATGTTGTGTTGTTTCACAAGTTAAAGTGCAGCAGCCTACAAGGAAGAGAGTAACCATGTTAAAAACCTGATGAGCTCTTCTTCCACTCAGAGACTTTAATGCTCATGAGGTTCTGATGCTCAGTCAGTGGATCAGAGAGCTGGATACAAACTGAAGATCAGACAACTGCTAAACTTAAATTTTTCAGAGTCATGAAGGATTTCTTTAGGCCTGGTTAGGTCACCATGGTAATATAGGCTGAGTCTGAACCTAGTTAAATCACCATGGTAACAGAAACTGAACTCAGTTTTATCTTAACCTGTCAGTAAGAAGCTCTTTCTTTACCTGGTGAGACTGAAAAYATTACAAAGTGACTGAAACAGTTTTTATGTACCATCAGTTCTACTGCTGCTGCAAGATTTTAAACTAACAGATCATCAAATGAGACTAAACTAAAACTTCCACTTTCTTAAAAGTCAAATGTAGAGCACTGATTCACATCTAAAGGTTTCATTTTTAAATTTAATATACTACAGTATTTATTTAGGGATGTATAGCCTATTTTATTTAACATTTAGTAGATCCTGATGCATCTCAGTAATCCAGGTAAAAAATCAAAAAGAAAAAATTGTATAGGTCTTCTGGACGGGTTCTTCTTTAATGAAACGTTTCGTCTCTCCTCCAAGAGACTTCTTCAGTCTGAGAGTTTCAGGCAAAATTCAGGCTTTTAAGCCCTGCCTCCATGTGACTGATACTCACATCACATGGCTATCGTTGACACCTAATTAACATTTATGGGTTAATTTTAAAGCCCAGGAAGTCCAACATTTCACTGATCACATCAACTCAGTTCACACGAGAGGATGTAAAAAATGGCAGGTTGGCGTTCCTGGATTGCGATGTCTCGGTTTCAGATGGAGGACGGTTGGAAACTGGCGTAT